TTATAAATTAGTGAAAAAAATGTATACTCCTTCAATTGGAAGATCTTGATTTAGATCCTCACTTTCGTCATAAAGTACAATGAAATGTCGATATTTTTTCCATTGTTGTGAATGAATCCTCATCATAGTTCGATGCAAGCTTAAGAGGAACGACGGAGGTGAATCTGTCGACTAAATAAGTAATTTTTTTTAAAAAAATATATAAACCAATAAATGAGTTAAGAAATAGTAAACATCTTACAATGTTGTATTTAAACAGTTCATCAGGATGAAAATATCGAATCTTTTTCATATTAATTTTCGCAATTAGTGAATAGTATGCAAGACGCGCATTATGGCTAATTATATCCAAAATGAGAAAAATGAGAGATAAGTGGGTACTGACTCTTTAATGAATAAATAACGATCAATATTGTACGTAAAGTTTTACCTATTGACACTTCTCAATCTACAGCATCGGTCCAATGCATCAAGGACATTCTTGCTTAATAAAAATTCCCAAGATGCGTCCTTATAAAGTTGCTTTTGCTACATATGACATATATATGAGTATGCATCATTTTAAACAATTTCTAATCTCAGAAATATTATCTCAAATTCTTACATGGTTCATAACTGTAAGAATGCGAAATATAACATTTTCACCCCTGACGAAAAGTGGTGCTGTGGCTGTTACAAAACCACCTAAAATTTTGCGAATGAAATATTAATGATATGTAAAAATAATAATAATAGATAATACAAAAAGAAAAATAAATAAAGATATTAAACCTTGTTTGAAAAACTCTTCTAAATTCCAAGACTTAATATTACGTGGATTTGTTCCAAACCCAAAAAACTTACAATTTGGAAGTCGTTTGAGTTTTATTAAATCGGGGATCCAGTATATTTGCTTCTCAAAAAGATAATAGATCTAAAAAAAATCCATTTGACTAATTTAAGATAATGGATAAATGAAAGCAAAAACCTAAGGTGATTATAATTAGTACATACCAGAACGTATTGAATATCATCACTGTATTTATTTACACAGGTAGCTCCCAAACAATTCAAAACATGTTTCATCTCCATTACTTCTAAATTTTCTTTTATAGTTACCTGACCACCTTCATCTCTTACTTGCTTTGGATCTGGGGCAAAAAGCAAAATTTTGACACCTGGATTTTTACAAATTTCTAAAAGCTTAAAGTATTCCATAAAATTGAGATAAATTTCACACATTTGTAAATCAATATTATCATCTAATATTTGTCGTGGAAGTATTTTTTGATATTTAGAGTTTTCAGACGATGTTGGTTGGGAAAGTAATGTCTTTTCAAGAAGGATTAATGGAACATTTGGTTTTTCCCTGAGTTGAAGGAAACGACAAATGTCGTTTGAAATCGCAAAAGCTAAAAGACAACGCTGTTTATCTTTGTTAAGCCAAATAACGCCAACCTAAATAGGTTATAGATTATAGATTATAAAATTAGAATATTTAAAAAAAGTTTGTATTAAAAATATGTAAAATGTGTATGATTAAATCTCACAATATTGTTCTCTTTCATAAACATGTATTCTCTTCTTATATTATACTTAGATTTGAGTATGTTTGCAGGCTCGGTTATAAACCCAAGAGCGTTTGGGGCAACAATTTTCATCGCATCAGATAGCCGAATACAATGTTCTATTCGTAAGTTTTGTCTATTCGATATTTCATTGCTATGATTAAAAAGTAAAATGGTTGATATGATTAAAATTAAAAAAAAATAATTAATATGATTAATATATGAAATATAAAAATTCATAATAATCAGTGAATGAATGAACTTACAAGAGCGAGGAATCTGGACAATGATCCGGCAATGGTTTTAGAATTACTGTAGCGATAAATTGTACAAGGCTACCTTTGATAAGACTTCCTTTCCATTCCCTAAAAAAGAATAAATTAGCATTATCATTCATTCATTTTTTTTACAAAGTCAGAATGAATTATTTTACATATTCGTTTGATGCGACGCGTCAATGGTTCCATTATTTTTGGTTACTGTAAAAATAGAAAAGGTACAATTTTTTAGATACGTGTAAAAATAAAAAAAGTTGTAATTTTTTTAGATACGTTTACGGTATGTAGCTATCAAAATGAAGTTTTATAACTTACCACCAATACTAGTTGATTGAGCTTCTGTAGTTTTTTTTGATGATGCGGATTGCACCACTTCCTGTTCCTTGTAAACTTGAGCACGTGTTCTATTAACAATGTACAATAAAAGTGGTGTAGTAGTAATTCATTCTATTATCTTGTATTAAATATTCAACAATCAGTCACTCACATGGTGAATGATCTTGGAGTAGAGCCGCTGGTGCGATCCTTTGCTGAAATTTCGATTTTAATAGTTTTTCCTCGTGCCTTTTCACTTAAATTCTGAAATTAAATATTATAATAATATTATTATAATAATATTAATAATTATAATATAATCGACATATTAATTAAATTCTTACATCATTATCGGTAGACGCCGAATTATTGACTTTATCCAAATTATTAACTTTATCCAAATTATTAACTTTATCCAAATGATTGACTTTATCCAAATTATTGACTTTATCCAAATTATTGACTTTATCCAAATGATTGACTTTATCCGAATTGTTGACTTTATCCAAATTATTGACTTTATCCAAATTATTGACTTTATCCAAATTATTGACTTTATCCAAATTATTGACTTTATTCAAATAATTGACTTTATCAGTAGACTCCGAATTATTGACGCTTGGAATATTATTTGTTTCTAATTCGAAATTCATGGATTTATTTCGCTTATTTGATCTTATACCAGCTTCATTAGACTCACTATCGTTATTAATATGTTTTGAGAGATTCTCTGATTTGTTAATCTTATTTGGTTTCAAGTCTACTTCATTCAAATCATTTTCAGATATCTCCATATTATTATTTTGAATAATTTCCGTTCTCGTTATAAAATCGACAGATTTCTTCCGTTTATTTGTTTTCACATTAGGTAAAGTTGTCTCTACATTGTCAATATTCATCTTATTTGATTCTTTGCAGATTTATAAAATGTTAAAATTTACATTTGATACCTATTATACAACTTATAATAATAAAAACATACCATTTGATATAACATCTTCAGCATTTCTCATCATGTTTGCAAATGTTACATTACTTTGAGTGATATCAGGCATAAGATCCATACTATTTGTTTGTTCACTTTCAGATCGAAATCGGAACCATCCAGAACCCACCAAAATTCTTGAGGAACCCAATGGTGAAGCTAATGAATTAATACTTCTTTCACGTAACCAGTAGTCACGAATTAAATCATCACATCCACTCATTGTTTCATATTTGGCCCAATTTATTTTAATTTGTTCATCCACTAAAAAAAAAAAAAAAATTAATAAAAATGATAATTAATATTTAATTAACAATAATATGTATTTAAGTAATATTCAAGTACCTTGATATTGTTGTAAATACATATCATTTCCGTTTACATAACGGTAGTCTAGAACTTTACTAACCACCATGGAACTTTTTTGTTCTTCCATGGCACTTGGCACTCTAAAATATTATAGATAATAAACAAGCCAGGATCATAAGCAAGTTAAACTTGTAATCATCTCATATAATCTCTTGCAAAGAAATATATTATTTATATACTTTGAAGAACTTTGCTTTTTTTTCGAATTTTTGATTTTAGTCATTTTTTTAGGCATGATATTGTAGAGAAAATCTTAAGAAACTATGAATTATGATCACGGAGATAAAAAAAAATCGAAATATAGGAATTTTTGGTTCGTTTATTTATATATTAAATATATAATGTATGCTGACTTTTGACTTCTTAAGAGTTTATATAGTTACTTGATAATAATATACTAATGTCATCTCTAAATTAATAATGATAGTAATATTCGTCATTATATTTAGCAAATAACAATGATGATGATATTGTAAGTAATAATAATAATAATAATAATAAATTATTAATGTAAAATAAATTCTCTACTTCTACTTGTAAGAATTTACACTATCATATGATATCTGACGTAATAAATTTGTAGTGCATGCTTGACGGTTTTGCCAAATTGGTTACAAATACAGTACAACAAGTGATTCGTAACACATACATAATTATATATAATTAAAAAATTATAGTATGTGTATTTATCATTAAAATCTATAATTATAATACTTTAATTTTTATTTCATGATTACAAACCATTATTTATACAACCTTAAAGTTTCATAATGGCAATATCAAAAGTTTATTTGTAATAAGGGTAAATACGATATATCGATATATTATTATATATTAATATTATATATTATATTATATTATATATATATATATATATACATATACATATATATATATATATACATATATACATATATATTGGTTCGTTATTTTTTTAATAGATACTTGAAAAGCATTGTCTATACCGTTTAAAAAAATTCTTTTTTAAACAACACTTATCTATTAAATTTATAAAAAAAAAAAATAATACATTTATTTCACCAAAAAAAAAAAAAATATGTACTAAAAATATATGTTAATTTCTAACGTATAAACAAATATGTATATACACCAAAGTCTCGGAAAAAAAATAAAAGAAATAAATACAGATAATGTTCAGAATTTAACCAAATCATTTAATCGTTTGAAGTTATATCCAATAGAAAACAAATAACTTTTAGGATCATTGTATATATCGAGACAGCTGCCCTTAGTATAATTTAAACATACTTCAATCATCTCTTCGTCATCTATATGATAAACCCCATGTCCCAAATGTAAATGGGTTCTAACATCTAAATAAGAATATTCACCATAGTTTTCACCCATTAACTTACAAAACTTACATTTAAATATATTGTGTTCTCTATATCCACTCAAAACAGCACCTTGTACAGTTGTTAGATTAACATCATTAGATTTTTTATGTAATTCCTTTGCTTCATTCCAGATTTTTGGCATAAGGGTATTCATTAAAAAGTCATCATCCCATAGATTGTAAGGATTATCATCGTGAAATGGTGGATTTCGAAAAGATGGACACCATGGAAGATATTTATCTATTAAAAGACTTTGCATATTATCATATGAATTATCCATATATGAAGAAAATTGATCTTCCATAATCCATTCATTCCAATCAAATTGGAAAGTAGTGTCATTTGAAGGAAAACTAAATGGCAATCCATAATCATTTATCGGTTGACTATATAAATTTGGAAGTGTAATATAACTAAGATCTAAAGGTTGAATTGGTGATGCAGAAAGTAATGAAATCGGTGGTAAAGTTATTAATGAAGGATTATATGGTGATATTGAATTAGTGGAATTGGCGGAATTTGCAGAATTGGCGGAATTAGTGGAATTAATGGAATTAATGTCAGAATTTACTCCAAAATATATAGGTTTAACATCACCATATGAAGATGTTTCGGATTCATTGGTAAGATCAATAATATTTTTCTCATTTGTTATGTCAATAATATCGTCTTCTGTTGACATAAAATCTTGTGATGTTTCAGATTTTTCTGCTACAGTAATATTAGTTTCTGATTCATCAGTAAGATCAATAACTTCTTTCTCTACATTTGTCTCAGTTTCGACGGTAAGATCAACGACGTTAATGTTAGTGTTAACTACGTTAGTGCTAACGTCATTAGTGCTAACGTCATTATTGTCAACGTCATTAGTGTCATTAGTGTTAACGTCATTAGTGTCATTAGTGTTAACGTCATTAGTGTTAACATCATTAATGTTATTAATGTTAACATCGTTAGAACTATCTAAATCAGTATTAATGAGGTTCATAATACTCATGGATAAAATATCAGTACCAGTGTTCGAAATGTTCATGGTATTAACATCTGTTATCGTTTCCGTTTCTGATTTATTTGTAGAATCCAAAGTATATTGTGATAAATCTGATAAATCGGAATTAAGAATGTTTGATATAAGAGTGGCCGAATTGTCAGAAGTAACTGTGGATGAAACTTGAACATCTATATCCATATTCGAACTAGTAGAATTTACTGCGGAATCTACTGCAGGAACAATATCAACGGTATTTTCCAAACTGGAGTCCGGCAACCAATTTTTTGCAAGTTGATAAATATCATATTGTCTCATTTGGAAAACCACATCCCTACCCCACGCCTTTTCTTTATTTTGACGTTCTTGCCTTTTTGAAATACGCCGTTCCTCATATTCTTTTAATAATTTCTTTTTCAAAAGTACCCAAGATCTTTCAGTAAAAGGTTGTGGAGATTGACGTATTTGCATAAACATATGATTGTTATAAGTTGGACATTGTTCAAGTATGAAATTATCATACTTTAAACAATTGTTGGCATTTTTTTCAGACTTCATGGCTTGTATTTTTGATTTAATTAAACGAGTTCGTTCATTCTTTTTTAATGAATTTTGATGAACCAATTCTCTTATACCCCGATCATAATCCAATCTACGTTGATTGACTTCTTTCATCTTTGCCAAACCTTCTTCTTTTTTTTGTTTTATCCAATCATTTCTAATATGTTGTGGATAGATGGGAAGACTTTGATATTCCTGAACCGTTTTAAGAACATGATCAGTCCAATAAAGACTTGACGGACACATTCTTGAATTCCTCATATAAGTATAAGAACGTCTAACCCAAGATGGTATGTAAGTTAAACCGGCAATAACATCATCAGAAAGACGACCATCATCCATGTATTCAGGAAGAAGATCTTCTTTCCTAATAAATATACATATATATGTATATAATTGTATATAATTGTATATAATTGTATATAATTATATATAATTGTATATATTGTATATGTACGTTTTTTGTTAAATACGAACTTTAGGCGAGAAAAAAAATGGTTAACAAAAATAATATATATTTTTTTTTTTACCTTGATATCCTTTCTCTCAGGCAATCCTCACAAGAACGTACAAAAAACTCCCAATAAACTTTACGAATTTTTGATCTATCACAAAATTGACAACCACGTTCTAAAACCAATTTAACATATTGTCTTTCAGTCATCCCTTCAGGTGGAGACATTTGTAAATGAGGTAAATAAGCAGTTCTCGATGCACGCCAAATTTCCTGAGTTGTTGTAGAAGTCTCTGCACTTAAATAACCATTAAACCTTTTACAAACCCTAGCTAGTGATAATAAGTCTTTCGGAGGTAGGTATTGACAAACATTGATAAACATTTCAGGAGGGAGTACGATGAAAAGACATGGTTTTGGTTGTTTCTGTCTTTTCCCTCCTGGATGACATCCTTTTCGACGTTGAGACATGATTTTTTTCAAAAAAAGGTTTAAAAATTTAAGACTTACGATCCTATTTATACCTCAAAAAAATTTTTTTTTTGGTTTTTTTTTTTTTTTTTTAAAAAAAGAGATAAAGAAAGGAGAGGAGCGGATACTTTGGCGTCCGTCAAAAGATGCACAGATTGATTTAGGCTCCTTTTAAAAGTTAAGTAATACGCAACACTCCCAAATACGTAATTAGTGAAACAACATACAAAACCTTGTATTGAATTATATAGGAAATCATACTTACAAAATCGGATACTTAAAAAAATTTTTTTTGATTTTTCCTGCTATTGGTCTTGTGATATAAATGGAAAATTCTATTTGTACAACTAACGTAACATAAACTTATTAATATTAATGAATCCTACATGCGTATGATTTTTTTAAACTTTTTTTGAAATGTGTATTTTCTCGGACTTTATGCTATTACATCCGTAGATGCGGCACAGCCCACAATCATACCAATACGTAATAACAATCATAGTAACAATATAACAAACGTAGGTAATAAGTCTTTAGGCTCATTTACATATCTAAATATTGATATGTTTATATATACAATAAGTGTTAACTGATAAAAGTACATAAGGGCATAAGTACGTACGTACGTACGTAAGTGTGTAAGCGTAAGCGGAGAACGGCAAACTCCATAAATATATATATATATATATAAATTTATATAAATTATATAAATTTATATAAATTATATAAATTATATAAATTATATAAATTATATAAAGTTATATAAATTATATAAATTTATATAAATTTATGGAAATTTGTATAAATTAGAAAACCCAGCCTGGAACTTTTTTTAATAACAAGATAGAATAATCGCCGCCAAGCCTCAATAATTTCAATAATCTCAATAATCTCAATATTAATATTAAGGGAAATAAAACAGACCAAAATGAACTAATTAGTAAATGGATAAATTGTGACAATTGCTTAATATGGAATTTCACCATAAGTATATTTTGTTACCGTTTTACTAATTTAGGATGTTTATTCAAAAGGTGGTGAGACAAGATCAAAACAATTTAAATGATCCTTTAATCACATTCGCTTGCAGAATTTAGGAAAGATCTAAACATGGAAGCTATTCTAGTTATCACGTGCCACTGACATTTATATTATTAATAAATTAGTATATGTAATATGTAATCCAAGTAATATTTGTAATCTATGTAATCCTAGTGTAATGTGATCAATAATAATTCAAGGATAACAAAAAGATAATCAATTATTAATATATATATATTTATTAAGATTACTAATAACAAAAAAGAGAACATCTTACCAGAAAGATTGGTTTAGTGTATTACGCCATTATTGCCACTATGCACAATATGATTTGAAAGGGT